ATTCTGTTCTAACACCACAGAAGCTGAAACAAAGAGAGATTTCAGCCTCCAAACGCCCCTCACAACACAGAATGTCCCAGTGCTTTTGACCTGTTGTGACATCAGGTCATCCAAGTTACCACATTTCCAGCCTGTCCCAAAGACGGAGGATTTCTACCCATTCCTAGGAAAGCAGTACCACAGCCTCAGGAATACTAACCCCCTGCAGAACACCCTTCCTCTGGTTTTCCCTTGTTGTTTCCTGCCTGGTATCCAGTCTGAAATCCTTTGGGACCACCCGGCAGCTCCTCCGGAGTTGACGCCCTTCAGCGAGTTACGGGTCTTTCTGTCCTCCCTTTATTCAGGCTCAGCAGTTTCTAAACACAACATTTTCCTAAGGCAGCCTCTGATTTTGGATGCTTTGCACTGTGTCAAATTGAGTGTCCAGAAATGGAGACGCCACAGAATCAGGGGTCACTCTGGAAAATGCTGTTTGCAGGCACGTCCTGCCTCCCCATGGCTTTGTTTGCTGGAGTTTGATCTCCTCACAACACCTTCCTGGGCACGGGGCACTGCAGGATCACAGGGTGTGCATAGAAACCCTGTCAGGTCCAGGCCCCGATGTCTCCATCAGCTGGGGGTCTTAGCAAGCTGATAAGGCAGGGAAGAAAATTTAGGGACTCTGAGGATGCCCCAGAGAGGTCTGCTGGGGCAAGGTTTGGTCATGGAACTTCTCTGCTCCCTCCCAGGCGCTCTCAAACCCTTCTCTCTGTGTTATCACTCCCCATCACTTGTCTGCCCCTCGAGCCCCTCCTGCCCCCCCAACACACCCAACCATCCCCCCCAACCTAAAATCTGGAGCCTGATTGCACAGATGGAAGGTCCTAATTGCACTTCCCCTTCCAAAGCCGCCTTCGTTTATCATAAAGGGTGCACATTTCCCCTGCTACAGTTTCCACGGCCGGAGGCCCTGAGGGCCAGCTCAGAAATGGAGAGAATTAATTACATTTTTTTAACTCCCCTTCTTTTAAAGTATGGGAGAGAGTGATGAAACGTCCCGGGGGGGAGCAGGGGAGAGCTGCAGAGATGAGGGTGGGGAGGGAGGCGGCAGCAGGAGGTGAGAGGGGAGCTGATTCTTTCATTCAGGATGGTCTTTGTGCATTAACCTTGGCCTCCCCAACACATCGGGACCCCAACCCACTCTTCCCATGACAAATGACCTCTGGAAAGGGCAGAAATGAGGCTGAGGGCTCCTGGCACTGTGGCTGTTGCTGACTTAGCCCAAAGTGTGAGCCCATGTCACGCCTGTGACTGATCTGGGACAACAGCAAAGGGGAAGGTGATGGGGAAAGGGGGAGACAACTGATGAGAGGGAGGGGAAAGGCAAGGCTGTCAATCACAGTGATGGACAGGGAGCAGATTTCCCTCCAGATAAAACCTTACAGATGTGAAGAGTGTATTGATTTTTAGTTAGTGATGATAATGCACCAAGAAGTAATAAATTATAAGAAAGCAAGGTCAAAAAAAAAAAAGTAAAAGGACTTTGCATTCTTGAGGAGGGGATTTCTCCAGATGCCTCAGACTTTCCTCAGTTCAAAAGTTGCCTGGAAAATGAGTTTATTCAGCTGAAAGAAGAAGCCAGATAACGTGGGCCTGCCAGGGCTGGAGGGCTCGTGCAGGGTTATCTGTGCTGGGTGGCCACGTGGTGGAGAGGAAATAGAAATCTCTGGTTCACTCTTGTTATTCCTGACACCTTCATGTCCTGGGGTGGCCAAGATCAGATGCCACTCTCTGATAAACCTGAGCAAACAGAGTCTCAGGGGAGCTCGGCCCCTAGTTGCTCTAAGAGTGCCTGGAAAAGGCAAATCCTTCCCCTGAAGAGGAATCCAAAACTTTTGGGGCTCCTGGCCCAGCTGAGCCCCAGAGCCTCTGTCGGGTTTCATCTGCAGGTCCCAGTCCCCCACATCCACGAGAGCATCCACAGGGATGTGCATCCCCAGCCTCTCTTCGGCCTTGTATCCAGTCTGGAATCACCGTGAGGAAACACTCGTGCCCTTGTGTTTCACCCTGGATTTCCAGAGGGAAGCTCAGCCTGTCTTTTTCAGCAAGAGGTCTTGGGGTGGGATGAATTGTCCTTCAGAAGTGTCAGTCTCTCTGTGGAGGGATTCTGGAGGATTAGCAGAGACTGGAACTTCACATGACTAAGGTTAGTTGAGCTGAGTCCGAGCTGAAGTGACTTGCACAAGCCCTTGTGAGTCAGTAGCAGAGCTGGGATTAGAAATCAGTCCTGATTCTGACTGATTAAAGCCAATTACTTTTTTTAGCAGGATTTGTGCAAGTGTCTTCTCCGATCCCTGAATCTGAAGAGTATGAATCTGGGTTTCATTTACCAGCATTGCTTTACATCCCCCTTTCTTTTAGAAGGAAGTGTTAATGTGACTTCTGCTTGCTCCAAGAGCCTTTTATTTTCTCAGAGTAATATGAAGCAGCTGACTGACTCTTGGGGAGATGGCCAGGAGGGAGAGGACTAGAAACCCTCTGCTCTATGAGTGATTCCAGTTGCCCTTCATGTTACAGTGCACGAAATCTTTTCTGCACCTGCAGGGCTTGGCAGGGCAGGCAGCACATCCAGAGCCAAGCAGCACTTCCAGACCTGGACAGCTCAGGAATGGAAAGGAAAAACAGTCTGGCTTTGTGCTGCCTGAGCTGGAGCTTTCAAAAAACAACTCATAATTCATACATCTGTGGCTTTGTGCATGTTTATTGTTTTTAACATCAGATTCTGCTTGTGAATGAAAGCCAGTCCTGTCTGGTGGCTGCTGTGTGTGTGAGTGTCCTGGATGCCCACCAGGGCAGAGGTGTGACACCTCCAGCCCAGGTGATGCCAGAGCTCTGAGCTCTGCCTGCAGCCGCTGGGATCAGGGGATCTGTGGCTGAGCCAGATCAAAGTTCATGACCTGGCTTTAGTGGAAGGCTACAAATAACTTTGCAGCTGGAAAACCTACCTCCAGGCTGCACTTCCATGATTTCCCCACTGCATAAGCCCTGAGGCAGAGGGGTTTATGTTACATCCACCCAGGAAAGCATGACAGCCCTATTTGTGTATTAATCCACTGTCTTGCATATTTAAATGCAATTTCCTTTCTTCATCCCCCAGTCTTTGGGCTGTCGTGGGGCAGGGAGTTCCACGGGCACATTTTGGCAGAGTTAGGGCTAAACATCTTCATCCAGATACCTCGAGGCTTAATGGCTGTGATTAGCTGTGCCTGGAGGGACTGGAGAGCTGGAGGTATTTTAGGCCCTGTCTAACCCCATGGTGTAGAGACAGCTAAGCCAGTTTTAACTTTTGGAGACCAGCAGCAAACTCTAAGCTCAGTGCAGGCTGAAAGCCCAGGAGGAGGAGACGGTAAATGAACCCTGTCTGAGCTCTGTGCTGCTGCCACTGTGCTGCTTTTACTTACCTTGTTCTTGTTCAAAGCTCACTCCTGTGTCTCTGTTCCAACTGCAGACAAACCCCGTGGTCGGGGTTAGATTGATTTTCCAGGCTTTTTAATTAACCCCCTCCCACTGCCTCCTCCTCCATGGGGTTCCAGCCACCGCTGCTCCCGAATTCCCCTCCCAGACAAATGCCTGGGAAGGATCTCAGGCTGGACGAGCCTGGAGGTGGTTTTACATCAAGGGAAAGCATCTTTGCAGGACTCCTGAGTCCTTCCGGGGGGAGGAGAAGCTTTAGAAAGCAAAGGCCAGTGTGGAGCTGATCCTTCAGCATAAGCCCTCACTCTGGCAGGAAGGTGGGGGAGGAGGGATGGGGAAGGTGTCGGGGTGAGCAGGAAGGGGAGACTCTGCCCTCTCTATACAACCCTTCTTGTGTCCTTCCAGAGAATGTAGCCCCTGCACAATAGCTCACCAGGCCGCTGCTGGGGGATAAAGGGCTCATTTTACCACTTGCCAGGCTCCAAATATTTCCAATTTGCCACTTTAATTGATGTCAATAAGGTTATGCTAAATTCGGAGATTTTGAGCCGCTCGGCATCTGAGCGCCGGCCGGGCCCCCCGAGGGGACCGTCCCCTCTCCCCCCGCCCTTCCCCGGCCCGGGGATCAACCGAGAGGCATCGGGAGTTCCCTTCCTCCTGCAAACTCTTTACACTCCGAACTCAGCAGCCGCGGGGCGATTCTGCTGATTGCAGAAGGCAATTGCATTAAAGCCTGGCGGGATCAGGTCCCCGTGTGAAGGGCAGAGGCAGAGTCCTGCCCCGAGCTCGCCTGCAGGAACAAATCTGGCATTTTTGCTGCAAAAGAGGAAAAAAAATAGTTCATCTGTTTCGGGTCTCAAAGCAGGAAGATTGATTGTGTGCGAATTTAATTACCTTTTCAAACCAAGCACTGCACTGAAACGAGCTGGACCAGGACCTGTTATCATTTAACATTTGGGGGTAGAGAGAACTTTGACATTTCAGTCCCTAAAGCTGAACCTGCATCAAAGCCAGAAAGGGTTTGCATCTGGTTTGTTTAGGCATCTTGGCAAAGCAAGCCCTGCTCCAACTTCCCAAGAAAGGGGCTGTCTGCACTGTCCCTTTCGGAAAATATGGATTTTTGGTCCCTGTTTTACGTGTCTCCTCTTCCGTGCATAGGAAGGGAGGGGTGCCAGGTCCTGGCAGTTCCTGTCGAGCAGGTTTGTCCCAAGTTTATTCCATTCTCCAGTGCTCCTTGCACAGTAGATGCTGTGGCAGGGCAGCAAAAAAAACGACCAGAGATTGAGTGTGCTGTGAAGGAACTTCTCCATTTTCCATGTTAAGGGCTTTCAAATAAAATGTCAGGCACAGATGAGCCAGCTGTGGGGTCTGTCTGGCGTTATTTGGAGGGAGCAGACCTTCATTCTCCAGCCTGGCCAAACCTATTCTGATACAGTATTTTCTAGAGCACCATTAGATGTAGGTTTTTTCTCCCTGGTTTGCATGAAGGCAGCTGCACTCTCCCTTTCTCCTCCAGCCATGACATGTGGTCTCCTGTGTTTCTCCAGGTGATGAGCATCCTGAGCAATCCCAGCGGGGTCCCTCCCCAGCCCCAGGCAGACTTCTCCATTTCTCCCCTTCACGGTGGCCTGGACACCAGCAACTCCATCTCTGCCAGCTGCAGCCAGCGCAGTGACTCCATCAAGTCCGTGGACAGCCTCCCGACTTCCCAGTCCTACTGCCCTCCCACCTACAGCACCACCAGCTACAGCGTGGACCCGGTGGCTGGATACCAGTACGGACAGTACGGACAAAGTAAGTGCTCTGCTCACATTCCCCCTGCACGGGGAGCAGGAGAGGAGAGGGAAGGAGCACGAGAAGGTGTGGATATACCACACCATCTTATGTATTGGAAGGGATTCCTGTGGAAATCTGTCCATCTAGAGAGAAAAAGGGAGTTTATTCACCAGACATGGGTGGAGATTGCTCCTCACAGCCTCCCCAACACCTTTGCAGTCCAGTTCAAAAGTCCCAATTGAAATATTTTAGGTGAAACATTTCTATTATCAAAGGATGACTTCCAGCCCCCTCTTCTTCTCCATCTCCAATTCTCACTTCTCCAAAAGCCCTACAACATGTTCACCCTGCTCAGCGAAAGGAAATCCTGGATTTTGATGCCATCCCTTGGTGATGCTGAACACTGTGTGTCTCTTCCTCCTCTGCCCTCCCCAAAGCAAGGCTTGGGACCATGCTCAGAGGTTTTGCTACAAAACACGATAATCCAGTGCTTGTCAGCTGGGCTGGGATTCTGGGAGACCTGGAGTGAGGCTGGAATTGTAATCCTGAACCTAACCCTGAGAGCTGAAAGGCAGAGGGACCCTGGGAGGGTCTGTTCTGCTGCAGGATCCTGGGTCAGCCTGGCAAAGGGCTCACCTGTCGTGTTAAACCAATAATGAGTGTGCTGGTGTGAGACACTGAGCCATGGGGGGTTAAAGGTGCATCCTCTTCCTCCAGGAGTGCTCCTGCTTGCCCAGAGCTTGTCCTCAGTGACCTTTCCTTCCATTTGGCTGTGGCTTTTTATTCCCCTCTCCGTCACAGCCCTTTAATGTCTTTAACTTCTCCAGCTAAATGAGAACCGGCTGTGGCTGCAGACGGGATCAATAGCAGCTTCCCCACACCCCTCCTTTTTTTGTTTTTCAGGAGTTTGATCTGTGACCCCTTGACCTTCCCCTCGCTTCTGGATGTGAGGCTGGACACACGTGCTATTGATAAAAATCTTAAACAAATTCCAATACCATGTATTTCCAATAAAGATTCCCTTGGGCAAGACGTTAGTCACACCCATGTGTGTAAAAAATAAAATAAGGAGGACGAGCTATGTTTTCTGGGAGAGAGAGTCTAGCAAAGGAGGAGAAAAGAGAAAGAACGATTTGTCTTGGTTTGCTGCAGGAATTTTCACTTGGGCCTCTCCATATGCTGATGAAAATCTCCTCACACAGCTCTATTTATGTTTAATTTGCCCCTTTTTCCTTTTTTTCTCTCACTCTGTTTGTAATAATCTCTGCAAGGAAACAGTTTTCATTGGTAATTAGTCCTGTTAGAGCAATCACTTACATGAGGTTGACCTTGATATAACAACATTTTTCCTGTCTTTCTCAGTGCCTGTTGTATTTAGCAGCATGCTAATACATGATACTTCTAATTCCTCCTCCTTTTTAATTCCTCACTTCTTTTCAAATGCTGTTTAAATGCCCATCAGTGTGAAGTGACCTCCACAAGATCATTTATTTGTGTTCAGTTCAGATCATATGTTTTTTCCTTCTCTGACGCACCAAAAAAAGTATCAAATCTCTTTTTAGTGAACAGTGATATAATAAAAATGGGGGGTTGTTATGGTGGGGGCAGGCTCTGTGTAACAAGGGACAAAACCAGGGCTTGGAATTAAGAGCTCTATGGCTTTGTTAGGCTTCAGACCTGGCCTGCAGAGAATCTCTCTCTCCCCACTTCTCTCCTCCTTGTTCTCTGCTTTATAAACACAAACCCAGACACGCTTTCTCTTTCATATAAGCAAATAAACACCCAAAGTACTTTCAGTAAATTTATGGGTTTATTTTGGCTTTCGCCCTATTGAACCAACCAACTGTATCCTTGACTTCTGGCGTGGGATACCCTGGTGCCTTTGAACTCTTCCCATGGGCACTACCCACAGAAAGCAATATTTGGAGTTCAGTATTTTTTTTAGGATAGCATTGCCATCAAATTTCCAGTTTCTCCCTGACAGGAGAGTGGAGCCAGGTGGGAGTCAGTCTCTTCTCCCTGGTAACAAGCGACGGGACAAAAAAAAACCCAGTCTAAAATAGCACCAAGGGAGGTTTAGGTTGGATAGTAGGGAAAATTTCTTCATGGAAAGGGTTGTGAGGCACTGGCACAGGCTGCCCAGGGCAGTGGTGGAGTCACTGTTCCTGAGAGGATTTAAAAGACATGTAGGTGTGGCATTTGGGGCCATGGTTTAGTGGTGAACACAGCAGTGCTGGGTTAATGGTTGGACTCGATGGTCTTAGAGGGCTTTTCCAGCCTTAATGACTCAGTGATTCTCAGATTTTGCTCAGTACTGCTCAGGGCAGAATGACCAGCTCTGACCCCTCAGCTCTCTCCTTTCCCAAGCTCCCCATGGATTCACACGGAGCACAGGGGACAACAGGAACAGTCACAGCCACACTCTGTGTGAGGAGGGACATTCCTCTGCACCTGCAGCCTCTCAAGGACATCATTTAATGGGCTTACCTGAAACATCAGGGGACCAGGATGACAAGGTCTGGATGAGAGGCAGAACGTGGGCTCTAATCCTTTGGCCACCCCCCTTGTAGGCAGAGACACCCCAAGGCAACATTCCAGAGCCCGGTGTCCTAGGAGCACCAGTCCAGCTCCACTGGCCTGACTGCTGCTTTTGGGCTCTGTGCTCCCTCCTTGCAGCCCTGGATAGCTCATCCCATGCCAAGCCCACTCCCTTCCCTCTGGCACTTGCCCTGCCTGCGAGGAGCAGGGCTGCCAGATTAATGTGGTCCTGGCCATTCCCAGAGGCCGGAGCTGTGTTAATGATGCTGGTGATGGAACGCAGAAGCGTGAAAGGAATCCTAATAGATATGACAAGTCTAATAAGAATTTGTGTGTGGAAGGGACCTCCTCTGGGGCAGGAGGATGACAAGACGTTGATGGCTGAAATTTGTTTACTCATTGGCACCGATTGTGCATCTCCTGCCAGCTCCTTATTAATCTAATTTGAGACATTACAGTTAGGGAGAGGGAGAGACTTTGACTGAAGCTCAGCTAATGAGCAGTGTCACCATCCTGCCCCCATCCTCTTCCCCCTCAGACCAGGGGGCAGCCGGGTGAGCTGGGACATGCCATCGCCTCAGGAGCTGGGGCTGTTCCTCAGCCGGGGGGGGACAGGGAAAGCAGTTTCCCTTGGGAGGAGGGCAGGCCTAGGGCTCCCAGAGCTGAGTCAGCACCCAGAGGATGAGTCAGGTCCAAGCCCTGTCCAGGCTTAGTGTGCTTCCACTGAAATCTCTGGAATCATTTCCCCATTGAGAGCAGGAGCTGCTTTGTCAACAGGGAGCTGAGCCTGGAAGGTTTATCCCAAGCCTTCTGCTCAGGCTCATCTTCAGGCAGCTCCCTTGGAAACAGCATTTTCCATGGCAGAGGTAGAATTTTAGCTCTTTTCAGTGGCTTCAGAGAGAGGTTTGGGGGCCCACAGCAGCATAGGGCACTGCACACCCCTCAGTGTGCTGAACCCCTGCAGGGTCTGTCCTGCACATGTCTGTGGCAGGACCATCCTCTGTGTGATCTCCTTCAGGAGAGCAGCAGGACCCTCATGCCTGTGCCAACCACTGGGATGGGCCCCTCTTTGTGAGAGCCTGTTGGTTACACACCCTTCGGTGCTGAAAGCCACGGCCACTAAATGCTAATTTTGGGCCGTTTTCTCACCCTTCCTCTTCTCCCCTCCTCCTCAGCTGCTGTTGATTACCTGGCCAAGAACGTGAGTCTGTCGACGCAGCGCAGGATGAAGCTGGGAGAACATTCCGCCGTCCTGGGCCTCCTACCAGTAGAGACAGGTCAAGCTTATTGAAGAGTCCAACTGTGCCAACAACCTGCTCCAGCAACTTGGAACCACTGGAGAAAACACCACCAGCCTTCCAGAGATCTGCCTGTACCCAGACCCTACTCCTTCCCAATTCCCTTCCACCTCCACCATCTTGAGCTGCAAAGGAGACGGGAAAGAGCAGGAGGGCTCTCCAAGTATCCAGCTCCTCCAGAGCACTCCAGAGGCAGCTGTGGCCTCTGTGACCTGACTCCTCCTGTGGCCAGAGACAGTGGGTTGGGTACATTTATTAATCCCGAGTTCATGCCCTCCCTCTACTAAACTACCTGGCCATGGCATTTTGCCCACACTTAAGGACTTTCCATTGATCTAGGTAGTTGGCATAGTCAAAGCCAAATTGATTTTTTTTTCTTTTTCTGTAAAAAAAAGAGAAATGTTTCATTTTGTTTCCTTTTCTTTCCATTGCTGTAAATTTGGTGAATGTATAGGAAGGAATAACCAAGCTGATCATTAAGGGTGGTACAAATCAGGACCACAGAAGACCTATGGACCAAATATAAGAACTTGTTTAAAAACAAGAAGAACAAACCACAAAGACAAACAAACCCAGAAAAACATATATTAAAGTGACAGCAAATTTCCCCACCTCACTCTACCCTCCGTTCTCACGGGTGGCCTCCCAAAGCAGGGCCAGGTTGCTGCTAAGCAGGGGCAGGATGGAAATCCATCCAGCCTGGGAACTTTGGAAAATGTAAATGGCTGCATGAGGGCTGGAGATGATGGGCACAGGCATGAGCAACATTTACTTTTTCTTTTATGGACCAATTTAGAGCTGACTGTCACTGAAAGGACGTGGGCACCGGGAGCAGCAGGAGATGGGACAGCACAGAGGAAGGGCAGCAGATACACCCCAGAGCGCAGGAGCTGTTGCTCATCTGGTTGAGAAGGGTGAGGGCTGTTGGTGGCCCTTCCTTCTCTCAGCAGGAGAGGAGTTGGCCCTGAGAGCAAAGACAAGAGAGGGCAGAGTCAGAGGTGTTTGTGAGCTCAGTGTGCAAAGCCAGGGTCTTCTGCAGGGCTCACCTGAAAGGAGACGGTGCCTGGTCTGGAGGTGCTTTGCCACAGTCTCTCACTGAGGGATGGATGTGGCCTGGCCTGAGGTAAAAGGGACCTGAAGAGCCTTTCTAGCAGCAGCTTGGAAGGAAAGGTGCTCTCAGATGCAAGATTGCACCTCTTTGTACTGCAGGAAAATATTTACCTTCCCGAGACATTCCTTATCCTTTGGCTGCCAGGAGAAATGTTTGCCCCATCCCTCCTCCTGGCTCTTCCCACACCCATCTCATTCCGTGTACTCTTCTGTACAACTCAGTCTCTTGGTCCTTTCCCTCTGCTTTCCATTTTGGTGGTAGAGCCTCTCTCTTTCTTTCTCTCTCTCTAGGCCAGACCTTGTTCTGGATTTGTCACCCCACTCTTCTCCAGCAGTGAAAAACAGTGCTCTCACTTTTGTGTCACCTCATTGCACTGCTCAGATAAGCACAGTTTAAATAGTTTCCCTTTTGCATGTGGGGGTGGATGATCCTTGATGATTCTTAAGCATATATGTAATATTATGGATTTTTTCCCCTCACCTTCCTGTGTTGAGAGGATTCACTTGAAGACATTTGATGTGGAGAGGGCAAGGAAAGCTGCCCCAGGGATAAACACTGGGATGCACAGAATCTGTGCCACCAGGAGCTGGTGTGTGAAGTCCAGTGACAACAGGCAGTGTTTATGTCATCCATGGGCTGTTGGAGTTTATCATACACGTACTGTTTGATATTTCTAGGATAATGAATGTCTGCTTTCGGTCACTGGTGATAAAGAGGGACCACGAGGTGGGATGAGTCTGGCCTGGGTTGTTAAAGGAGACACTTTCCACTTGCTCTCTTTTCTGTTGCTGCTTCTTCCATTCTTCCCAAATAACCTCTTCTTGTTTTTGCAGCTGAAACAACATTTTTCTGGGGAACTATCCCCTGCCTTGCTCCAACATCATTTATCATGAACCACCAAGCCACTTCCCTTGAGCCATATGGAGAAGTACCTGTCCTGGCCAAAGCAGGGGTTGGTTTCTGATGTTGCCCAGCATCCTCTTGGAGCCACATATGGCTTCCATCAGCTTTGCTTTACGGCTCTGACAGAGCCAGCTCTACATTCCCAAAAGCATTTTCATACACCAACTTGGCCTCTCACATGGATATGTCTGCACAGGAGCCCTGTGAGAGGTGACATCTGCATCCTGAGGCTGATTCCTGTCCTTTATGCTCCACAAATCCCAATTCAGCTTCTGCTTGTCCAGCTGTATCACACACCAAGCTTCTCTCTAGTTGTGAAAAACATTCCTTGGATCACAAAGCTTTTGAAGCACTTGCATTCTTCATTCCCTTTCTCAGGGCAATCTGTGGCACTTACAGCTGCTTGAACAGGTGAGGCCAAAGGGACTGATTTCCTCCAGGTGACTGAGTAGCCAAAACTCCCTGGATGAGCTGTGTTACCTGAAGGACTCTCCCTGCTTCGCTCTAGTTTGAAATCTTGGAAAGCAACAAAAAACCCACTGGTTTATAGTGTTTACATGTTAGAGCTGATCCCTGTTGAATTCCAGTCCTGGCTTAAAAGCCGTTCCCAACAGTAACCTCCAGCCACACATGAAGTGGGGAATCAAGGGTGTCTCCATGATGGACACCAGTGAAGGTATCAGTGACTGAAGCACCTGCTTGAACTTGCTCCTGTGCCTCAGCTTCCTCCTGAGCCAACTGCTAAAACAACAGAGCCCACCATTTTCTTACATTGAACAGTATTTAAGAGGCCAAATGCTGATGATTCCCTCCCTGGGAGCACCTTCAAACCTCCATCCTCATTGCCACTGGAACATGGGGTTTGTAGCTGGTGATCTCTTGCCCTGTTACTGCCCCAGCCAGTTGTGATCCCTCGTCCCTTATACTGAAATTCCTGACCCAATGCATTCCTTGCTGCCTTCTGAACCAGAAGGAAAGTTCCAGTTTGTCATGAGAATTGCTTGTCCTGCTCTTATCTCCTCTGTTCCCTTACCCACCCTGCTGCGCACACACATCTCCAGGGATCCCTCGCCTGTGGACTGTCGGTCCTCGCCGCACGGGCTCGCGAGGAGGACTCGACCTGAGCTCAGCACCCAGTGCAGGACCCAGAAATCAAAACCGTTAAAAAGAGGGAGCACTGCAGAAACCTCTTTGCCAGTTACCTTCGCCAGAAAGTCCGTGGCCACCTGGGCACTGCTGTAAATAGGATTCTTAGAGGACTATGAAAACCCCCCATGCTTAGCACAAATAGCTCTTCTCTGACCTTTCCCTTGTGGTCGCACTTTGTACATTAGTTGGAAATTTGGTCATGTGCTGTATGTTTATAGAAAGTTGACATTTTTTTTATACTAAAAAACACAGTGAGTGCCGTGCTAGTTTAAAAAAAAAAAAAAGAAAAAAAAAAAGGAAAACCCCCCCAAAAAAGTAAAAAAAGGGGAAGGGGGATGAACTGTAGAAATTTGCCTATTGTGTGTTTTCAAAGTACATTCCAGAATCTTTGGGGTGGGATGGGTTTGATTTTGGGATTTTTTTTGTTTGTTTGTTTGTTTCTTTGTTTTAAGGTACGTTCATGTATGAAAGTCAAAGTATTTTTTTGTTTTGTTTCGTTTTGTTTTTTGGATTGCCAACCTCAGTTCTGCTGAAAAGAGACAAACTCAGGGGTGGGGTGGGACGGGAAAGGGGGACAGAACAGAGGGAGGTACCTTGAAGGTGAAACAAAACTGAGCATGGAAGAGTAGCAGTGGCAGTGCTGGACAGCAGGCATTCACTGGAGAGTTGGACTCGTGACCCCTGGGGGTCCCTTCCAAACCAGAATATTCTGTGATTCTGAAACTACATCAAACCAGACTCGAAATCAGACCCTGAAGAACACGTGGACGTGGCCGGTTGACACCGACCAAGTAGGGACTGAGCAGATACTCAACTCCTGGTGGCTCTGAGGGAACCCAAACATTGTTCTGCACCTCCTCCAAACAGCTCACTGAGCAAAGGGTCACACTCAGAGATGTTGTGTCAGCTCCACAGCTCTTCCCTGCCTGCAGACGAGCCCTGAAGGGACACGCTCTGGGGACATTCTCTCAGCTCCACAGCTCTTCCCTGCCTGCAGATGAGCCCTGCCATCCCTGGGGAAAGGAACAGTGCCAAGTGGGTTTCTCTGACCTCCCCACAGCCCTGCCTTCACCTCTCCCCACAGCGTGGATGTCGCATCACTGTGTCCAGCAGCTCAGCAGATTGGCTCCTGTCGCTCCGAGACTTTTTGTGTATTTAATGCTTCTAACCCGTCATCCCTTAACACCTCCATGTACCCACCTGGGGAATATCTACATAGCACTCTAGGGCATTCCTTATTCCTAGTAACTGCGGAGATGTCGCTTCTGTGTTTGCCTCATAGCCATTTGCTGGTGTGTGAGTGTGGGTGTGTGGGTGCCTGCGGGTGTGCGTGTGTATATATATAATCTCACCATAATTTATTCAGCTATATGGAGTAGAATAGTAGAAAGAGAAAACTGGTTTTGCTTTAACTACCTGCTGCCTGTAGGTGTCTTTCTGTAACTCAGGCATAACTGTTATACATTAAAAAAAAAAAAAAAAAGGAAAAAAAAGGAAAAAAAAAGGATTAAAAGTGCCTTTGGGTGGCTTGTTTGCTTAACGCGCTCCGTGGTGTGCCAAGAGCGAGTGGGGAAAGTGGGGAAGCAGAAATATCCGACACGCACAGGCAAAGTGCAGATGTTTTTGCTCAAAGAAGCAAAATCGTGGGGCTTCGTTCATTAATGAGAAGGTGGAAAAGCTATGTAAATAAATAAAACATTTAATTTCACTGTGACTTTGCACAAGGGAAGGACAATTACCTGGCCTGTTCTCAACACAACCAGTTCTTTATGCATTCATTTGGAGCTAGCCCCAGCCCAGGCAGGGGAAGGCCAGGGAGGGACCAGGCTGCTCCGCAGGCACCTGGCTCTCGTTAATGCCAAAGCCCGGCATCAACAAGCGGAAAAATATTTAGAAACTATGGAGGGATACGTGGCTGGGGGCTTTGCACTGAGTAAGAAAGCGGTTTGCCTCTAAACAAAGCCCTGAATTCAAAAGCTGGTCCCATCTGAAGACGTTTTGGCTCTCTGTAAAAGAAGTTGATCTTCATCCAAGTCGCGGTGGAGGAATATCCGCATGCAGAAACGAGCCTAATTAGCCCCTGGGTTTGAGTTCTACTTGTCTCCAGCAGAGGGGTCAGTCCATGGGACTGACTGGCTGCCCAAAGCCAGGTGAGATCACCCTTAGATAGGATGTGCCAACTGCTTATGTTTGTCTTTTGGCAGCAAAAGAGGCAGAAATCTGCCAACCTGGAGTTTCCCACAGGCCGGAGAAGGCTCAGTGAAGGAACAAGGGCGTTAGGATTGCAAACTCTGCTTGCACTCTTGTGCACCTCTTGATTGTGGCTACTTTATCAACCAGCCCCTTATCAATCACCCACTGAGATCCTTTCTTAATCCCCCACCTGCTCCCAATGCCTGGATAATCCACATTTCTGAGGGAAACGAGCACCCACAAGCCAAGGGTTGGCCACAGGCGGGTCTGCAACAGAAGCAGGGGACTGGGGGGTGCCTGGCATGGAGCTCTGGGCACCAAGGGGCTTTGGTGGTTCTGAGAGGCTCGATGAGGATCCCTGGAAAATACAACAGGTCTCCAAATGTCCCAAGCTGGGACATTGTTCTTACATGATGCCAAGGGCACCGTGCTGCTCAAAAAAAACATTATTGTGATAATTATGGACCAAAGAGGCTCATCTTTGTGTAGGAAACATAACCAACTTCAGCCATCAGAGTGGGAGAGTCAGCCCCAGCTTCCTACCTGTATCCTATGGGAATTGTATTTGCCATCTGCAAATTCTACCCACCCTGAGGCCCCCCTTCCTACCTCAGACCTGCACTCGTGAGCAGCACCTCATTTTCACCCTGAATCCAGCGTGGCCAACCCACCCACACCAAACATTTGCACATGGAGGGGTTTGTAGAGGAAGGAATCATCTTCCGGGAGCTCTAAACCACGGCAGAGATTATTTGTAGCCTCATCCCTGGTTTTAGATCCGCGCTGGCCCGCTCTGACAGGGCACAGCTTTGCGCTCCCTCTCCAGCCCTGCCCGCGGTGCCTTCGCTCCGGCAGCGCTCACGTCCAGGCTCCGCCGCCGCGGCTGCGAGCGCTCCAACACTGCCCTCCGCTGTTCCCCGAGCTCCGCGGCCTCGCTCCAGCCGCTTCAGCCTTGGCTGAGGAGCGCAGGGTGTTTCCCAGGCCCTGCCAGAGTCGGCCCGGTGCCCTCTGAGGGACGCGAAGGGCGCGAGGGAGCAGCGCGGGCTGATGAGCCGGTGAGAAATCGCCTTCGCGGCCGGGTGGCACCGGCTGGTGACAAATCCCGTTCGCGGCCGGGTGGCACCGGCTGGTGACAAATCCCGTTCGCGGCCGGGTGGCACCGGCTGGTGACAAATCCCGTTCGCGGCCGGGTGGCACCGGCTGCTGGCCCTGCCCCGGGCACTGACCCCCCTGCCAGGGCCGGGCGCTGCCCCCGCCGGGGCTCTGCCGCTCCCGCGCCGCTGGATTTGACCCGAGGGCCATGAGAGGGGCTGTTCCTCTGCCGGGGGGGCTAATTCTGCTCCTTTCCTGCTCTGCTTCTTAGTTATTTATTTGTTAATTATTTGGGTTTCTCATCTGTTCCCCATGGCTTCCACCCCTGGCACCCCATGTTTATGGAGTCACGGAGTATTTGGGGTTGGAAGGGACCCACAAGGATCACCGAGTCCAGCTCTGAAGTGAACGGCCTGTACAGGAATCAAACCCCCAACCTGGGCATTATCAGCCCCGTGCTCTGCCCAACTGAGCTGATCACGGGTTTCCTGCAGCCTCTTCTTACCTCCCACTGCATATTCCCCTGGAGCTCCACGTTTTTCTGCTGGAGAGAGCCCAGGACAGCGACTGTGATCAAGCAGAGACACAGAGCACATGGATATATCTAAATATCCACATATTTACATCAACACTCTGTAGTTTTTTAGGACAGAAGCACTTGGCAGGATAACCAGCACTTTCCTTTTAAACTTCCTAACCAAACATTTGAATGTATTTCCATTATTTTCCTGGACACTCTCAAAATTACTGTTGGACTTGGTGTTCCTGATGGGTCTCTTCTAACTCAGCATGTTCTAGGATTCTATTCTCAGGGGAAATATGAGGAATAGATAAAACTCTTTTCAATATTGGGGTGTTTCCACTTTATTCTTTTTATCATTTTAAAGGTGTGCAAGAAAAGAAAAGAACAACCTGGAGGGGAAGCAAAATATTTTTGCCTTTCTAAGCTGAGATATTTTTTAGCTAAAACTGAAGAGACTGAAAATTTTCTCCCTTTTTATTAAAAATTGAATAATTAAATGATTTTGAAAAGGTTCTTATTCTAAAAAGAAAATACTTTAGTAAAAATTTGTTTAAACCAGATTTCATCTTTCCTCTTTTCCATCGCCTTTTCCAGAATCATTTCAAAAGCTGTTTCACAGATGAAAGTTGAGTGACTTCAGCAGCATCACGTTGGTTTAAGTGTCTGAACCTTGTTCAGGTCTCAGTTGATCCATCCCCAAATCTCAGCTGGGATGTGAAAAAGATTCAGGGAAAGGGGTGACAGAAATCCTGCCCCTGCCGGGTGTGGGTGCTCTGAGAGGGTTTAGGATACTGATTTCTATTAATGCTGAAAACATATTCCAAAGGATGAACCAGGACCATAAAAGTGATGCTAAATTTAGGAAATTCCCATGGGAAGATGTGCCCAAGCATCCCTCTCTCTGTCCAAACATGAGCTCCTGCTGTTTAAAGCAACACACCAAGAGATTGAAAACCTGCTCCTGATTTTTTCCTCAGCTCTGATTGGCATCAGTGGCTTGATTTTTTGGGAAGTGCAGGCACCCACCCTGTGTACTTCAGGTCCTAATTACAGTGGGAATTTGGATCACTAGAAGATATCTTTTCCCTCTGACTAAAACTGCTGTAAGTTCCCAGTGGGATGAATTCCAGTGTTGTTGTGTTGGACAGAAGGGGGTGATAGTGAGTGCATCGACAGCTCCTTTTGGGAGCACAATTCCTCAGCTCCTCCATCTCTCCGTGTTATTCCTGCTGCTTCCCAGCCCCATCCCTTTTCACAAGCAGTGCCTCCTGCCCTCCAACATCCCCTTGGACGCAGAGCCCACCTTGTGTTTCATCTTCACGAGATTTAGGAGGTGCAAATACCTATTTTATGTATTTGCCTAGAATTTATTTAGGTATTTACTTACCTAAGATAGGCATTTACATATCTATTTACCTGAAACAGGTATTTATTTGCCTAAAATTTATTTAGGTATTTATTTACCTAAAATAGGTATTTATTTACCTAAAGGTAAATAGGTATTTATTTACCTATTTACACCTCCCAGGTCTCTCTGATGGACTGGGAAGATCAGAATGAAGCTGCAAAAGGCCTGTTGGCAGCAATCCCACCACCCACATGAGCACAGAGAACGTGCCCAACCCAAACACCCCTGCACAAACCAGCGTTTTTGCACAGCATTTTTGCACCTGCTTTGCAAGCCCTGAATCCTCAGGCACGGATTTTTCCCAGCTCAGGGGTCAGTCTCATCTCCTGA